TAAGTTCAGGATAAGATAAAGCTTATTGGAGCCAAGGATTATTTACCAATGAATAAAGTATCACTTGAAAGACGACTTATATAAAACATATTACGAAAGATTATAACAGGTATATGGAAGATTTGATGAAATGCTTTATACAGAAAAGATAATAAGGCAAAAAGGTAAACGGTAAGAAATATATATGAATAGATAAAAACATTATTTTCTAGGAACTAAAGACTATTGCAAAACAATTTGCAAATGTCAAGATGATATTTAACTTATTTTCCATCTTATAAACAGTTTTTCTATACTATTAGTAGAACAATATGAGATGTAGTTGCCCTATTTCGTTTAAGGGGACTGATAGTTGCAGATTCCCATGGCCTTTCTTTCCTTAAAGGTATTCTAATACATGGCAAACGACCTCGCCTAGGTATAATTAGCCCCCTGAGCAGAACACGAACAATATCAGTGCAGCGTAAAAGCTCGACATATTAACCACTAAGTTAGACTGCCACGTGTGCCCTTGGGTCACAAGGCAGATGTGAATTTCAAGAACAGACATTTTTCAGTATTCTATTGTGTAGTGAGAAGCGAAACATATTCAAAATGTTTCATATATAAAATAGTTAACTTTCCTAGTATAATTAAATAAGTCAAAGCTTTCGAATCTTAAAAGATACAAAGCGTAAAAGGCAAAGGAACTGAGGGCGGCACTCAGACGTCCTTCTAAAACCTACCTCGCCGACCAACATCTCGAATATGAGAACACCAAGGCCCCACCAATCGACGGCCCGAGTATATGAAGGATCAGTCAATACCTCTGGCGCAAGAAATTCAGGTGTTCCACAGAATGTCGACGTCCGATCTTCTGGGCCCATACCTTCTTTGCATAAACCGAAATCTGTCATCTTTACATAGCCGTGCATATCCAGAAGAAGATTATCTAATTTTAGATCACTATAGGAATTAAGGAAAAAGATTAATAGGAAAAAATTAAGGTAGCTACACTTATAAAAGGATATGGAATTAAAGGCTAAAGGTATAGACGGGTAAATAGAGATCAACAGTGTGTATCGTGTGTATTTTTCATATCTGTCAGGTGACTGATGACAGGCTTGACTACGAGGGACATGCATAAGAACACAATTGTTTAGCACAAGTCTGGTCAAAGGATCGACTTCACTTGTCCCTTTGACGAGTTGTTGTGTGGTACTAAGAGTGGCGATACCCACTGACGATACCGGCGAAACGTTTGGGAATGTACCACGTCCACGGTTCTACTTTGGAAATGATCATGCAGAAAATGGACCCCGGACTAGGTACGTTTTGATAAGTCTTCCTACCAATATGACCATGTTGCGAAAACAAGGTCAAACAACCTCTATATGAAGTGGGGTTGAGAGAAAGAGATGCGGCACTAGAAGTTAGAACAAAAAATGTAGACGATGAGTGATTCCACAATGGTTGAACAGAAAATTTCTCAAGGGGATTATCTTCACTTGTCACTTTCCTGTTTTGGTGGTAAGTATATTGTAAAAAGATTTCACTAAATCTTTACATTGTGATCAATAATAAACTACTGGTCTTCTTCAAAAGATGCATGCAAGGTCTTTTAAAATAAAATTAGAAAAATTAAATACTTGACCTCGTTTGCACGCCCTTATCGTTTCTTCAAGATCACAATGAATGCATTCAAGACGATTTCCTCTGCCATTGTAGTCATGATAATTTCTGTATCGGACTGCGAACTCACCTTGAAAATGATAAGATTGTTAAAGCGAGGTCAAAATACATCTATGCAAAGACTGTGGCCAAAATATAGACCATGCTGTAGTAGGCGTCATAGCTTCACATAAAATAAGGCTTAAAAAAAGCTTTATCGCTGAAACATCTATATTTTTCACTTAAAATCAGCTTAATTACTGCCGCGGCAGAAATAGCTGAAATCTTAATAGCCAAGATATAAAATAGAAGATTGATTTGATTGGAGTCTCATGGATATGATGACCAAGATCGTGTGGACCTTTATTTGGTCGCAGCTTCCTATAGCTGCACGTTGTTGATTTGACTCGTATTTTATTTGTAATATTATGGAATGGTAAACTAAAATATCAGAATATGCAAAAAAAACGAAGACCAGTCACTACAAAATAAAGACCTCCCAGAAATGTTATGACATGACTTCCCAGTTCAAAAGAAATTGATTGATCGTTAATTGATCTCAACAAAAAACGAAGTATTGTCGCCAAGCTTTTGGCTTATTGTACATAGTTCGTTTATTAATAATGTGATTACTTGCTCTGACGGCGTCTGTTTCATGATAGATGAAAGCTTAGGGCAGGATCATCGAATTCG